CGCTACCTGTGCCTTGTGTTTGCTCTCTCCGCAGGACGGTCCCGCGCCCTCCGCTGTGAAGAGCAATGGCCGTGACTCTAGAGCAGGCCCGGCGGGTGGGCTATGTCTGCCTGAAAGCACTCCTCAGGTTCGCTTTTATGGTCGCCAATAACCTGGTCGCTATTCCGTCCTACGTCTTGTATTTAATTGTGCTGCAGCCCCTCCGAGTGTTGGATAGTAAAAGCTTCTGGTATATCGAAGGAGTATTATTTAAGTGGCTTTTAGCTATGGTGGCTTCCTGGGGCTGGTGGGCAGGATATACAGGTAAGAATGTCTTATTATTTAAAATGTACAAATGTAAAGATATCAATGTGTTAAAACACAGATGTTTTAGTATGGGGACATGTAGGGGAATATCTAACTATAGTGGGTATGTGGGATGTTTTTCTTTCAGGTTTCTTATACAGATTCTTTGTGTCTCTAGATTGAGATGCTAAGTGTACTGAAACATTTTTTTAAATTGTAGGTACAAACTCACTATGTATTAAGGAAGAGTTTCTTAATCAATACTTTTAGAGTACAATCGGAAATTATTTTTCCGAAGTATCTTGATCACTTTGTTTTAACGTTACATGAAAAAGGTCCATCTCCTCCAAAGAGAGTTGATTTGTACTGCCTGATAGAGCCAAACTTTTCTTTATTAAGTCTGTGCATCTCTACACCATCTCCACTTAAAACTATCAGGACAGAAGGCTGTTTGACGTGAAGCTCATGTCAGAAGAGTAGGTCTTCTATTCCTTGCAACAGCGACTGTCTTTTTTGCTGCTTCAGAATGGAAGGAACCTCTTCCATACAAATAGTGTTACACAATGTTTCTCAGCTGTATGGCTCTTCATTTACTGTGAGTGGAGCCGATTACAGAATCTGTAGGGTTTTTTCCTCTGCATGCTTGCTTTGCAGTTATTATTGAATTTATTTTTGCTTGTTAGTATTCATAGGCTCATCAAGGTGCTGAACTGAACTGAAATACTAAGGAAGGCTCTAGCCTTGTCCTTGAATGCACTGATTTTCATCCTGGCTGCTGCACTTTGTGCAAGGAAACAGCTATCAATTCTTTGTATGTGCTTAGACCTTGGAAAGGGGAGGAAATTAACCTACTGAGTGCAAAGTATGAACAGCCCTCCTAAGATTCTTTCTTTCTCTTCTGCCCAGGCTGCATCTTCAGGTCTTGTCCATGTAAACAAGGAAAAAAAGGAATGGCAGCACACAGCTCTGGAGTCTGGTCAGACTCCTGATTAGTCAGAAAGTCAGTGTTGGGACAGATGGTGTACTCTTTTTGTTAGGCTACAAGAGCTGAAGCCTCTGTGATAATGCGTGTTTTGGTGCCCTGTCGTGTGCCTTTCCTAGATGCACTGATTTTCTGTGGATACTTTAGGTGAGCTTTCAGTTCTGAAGGAGATGGTGGCAGCAGCAAGCTAGGTCTGTCGGGCTAGAACTGTCGCAACGTTGCACTGCTTCAAAATTGCCTTACCTGGTACAGCTCAAGCTCTTCCAGATATGCTGTTTTGAAAATCTCTTTATATGTTAATATTTGCTCATGAAAAGAAGTCCACATAGTGTTTGCAGTGGCAGGTATATTTTTAAAACTCTGCTTTATGCCTTAAAGCACAAAGGCCTTCCAGAAGGAAGGATTGACTTTCAAGGTGTCGTGTGTATTATTGATTGGAAATGGGAAAGTTTATGGGCTTAATGGTAACATGAAAGTCATACAGCATATGACCCTGGGGATTCGCTGTGTGTATTGACCGTGCTAGTTAAAATTCAAGCCATTGTCCCATGGCGGTATGGTTGTGAATTTTTGAAAGCAGTTTCCTTGGGATAGTTTTACTGCTGACTGCAGAACTGTGTGGTTTCTTTTGCCTATTGCTTGGAAAGTGGTCTTAGCATGATCTGCATCTCCTGCAGTCTTCCTGAAGCATCTGTTGATTGGTGTTGCCGATGTATCTTAACGTTTTAAAATCCTTTGTTTCATAGTCTTGAAATATCTTAGTATGGTTGTTTGAAGTATAATTTACAAACAGCTACACAGAAGTGCTTTCTGGGATGGTTTATGTGTAAAGAGGCCCTTCTTTTTGCTTTTTACTGTAAAGCGTGCCTTTAATTTTGGGGACGATTTTAAGCAAATGCTTGTACGAAGTCTCAGTTTAAATATGCTTCGTTTAATTTGAAGACATTACCATGTTTTCTACTGAAATCTACAGAACAGCAAGGATAGCTTATTTTTTTGTCCGTTCTTTCTTTACCATCATGAGTGCTTACCACCACATGCAGAGCAAACCTGGAAAGTGTATCTTTCGGACTTCAATGTACATAGGCAGACCAATTTATGTGTCCGTTTCCAGACAGACAGATTTATAAAAGAACTGTCACAAGATCCCATCTTTTTACAGAGTATGACATAACTAATTTGGAACTGAAATACTACTTTATTAGAGTTGGTATCTAGGACTTGCAGTGCTGCATCTGAGAGAGGCATTGCTCCAGAATTATTCTGTTTTCAATTCCAAAAACTAAGCTGAAGATAAGTTTCAATATGTTCCATCTTTGCAAAAGTAAATATGCAATAGTGGGTATGTATGGGTTCACTGAGAAGATTCGGGGTTTTGCTTTGCTTTGGAGTAGCAGAGCAGTTGAGTTGGTTTGATTTGGTTTTCTTCTTGGTGGAGAGGGTTACCAGCTGAATAAGTGTGCTTGTGTTTTAATTGGAGGTAGTGTTCTGCCAGTTGTTTTGAAGGTGTGTTTAACTTTTTGATTTATTTACTTTTTCCTCTTTCGAGCTTCCATCATCTGTTGGGTGAGAAGTGACATAAACTGTTTGCAAAATAGATTTGGGGCTAACTTTCTCCTTCCCAGTGTCCCCTCTCTAAGTCTGTATGTAATGTGTAGGAGAGAGCTCAACACCACATGAAGAAAATATGGTGAGTGCTAGGTTTTCCTTCTGGGCTTTGCTGCTGTTGTGTAGTTGTTGGTTTATTTTATTGACTGAAGCTGGAAGAGCTGAGGAAAACTCATGAACTAGGTCTGCCCTTCTCCTCCCCACCCCCGCATAAACCTGTATTTTTGTGCTAGGATCCTAGAGGATTTGTTACAGAAATTGCATGATCTGTCTCTGTATCAGCAGCTCTAATCTGTGTTTTTTGATAAACGTAGGTGTTTCTGTTTGCAGATGCACTTGATGTTACGTAAAGAGAGAGCGTGTAACTGGACAAGCAAATAAAGGGAGGAAAGGGAAGAGAAATTGTAAAGGTCACTCTACTTTCCCTAATCTTTCTTCTTAAGATGCAAGTATGAGAGAGAACTTGAGTATAATTGGTTGCCTTTGAGTTTTAAAGGGCAGACTATGATAAATATCTATGTTGTTCTCTTGAACTCTACAGTGTTTCTTATGAAAAGGAAAGCTGTCTTTTTATAAAGAACTTTCAGATAGTCTAGCAGTATTATTTTACTTTTATATGCTTTCAGAAAGGCCCTCTTGTAACTGTTCTAAGCCTCTTTCTTTTTTTTAAGGCTTTTTGTATAAATGTGTTGCTCTCATAGGAGCTGTTCAGTTAGAACGCTCGAAATCTGTGTATTAGTGTGATCTGAAAGGCACCTTTGAATAACACATCTAAATATTTTCCTGCATTTGTTGAAAGATGCATTCTAAAAAACGCAAACTAAAGAGTGCTTGATCCTTTGTTGGCAAGTACCTCTTTCCCCCCCTATACTATAATTTGTCATTTAATATACAAGTAAACCAGAAACCACTAAATAGTGCAGTAGACGTAATGGGAGGGAGATGGAGCATATCTGTGGTGGTGGATTTCTAATGACCTCCTGCTTACCTACAAAACTAGTTTTAAAGCAACCATCTTCTAGACTTGAACTTCTTTGGGCAAGCAACTATTGCAAACTAAATTTTAATATCCCTGTATCTAATCAAATTGCTGAAAGTAGGGCTGCTAGAGAAAAGCTTGCTTTGCTTCAGTGTGCTTAGACAAACTGTTTTGTTGTCTTCTCCTGCTGTCTAAATGCAGAAGTTGGCATTAGCCTGCGGTAGTGTTGTTGTGATATTGCAGTTAGAAGTCTCTACGACAGCAGAGTAATTGGTTAGTAATGCACTCCTGATGCTCATGATGCTGACATGCTTCACTCAGCTCAGCTCGGTCCTACTGCAGGGAGCAGTGGTCTGTGCCCAACCTGTACCTCTGGCTGGGGACGTGGAGCTGGTGGAGAGTGTGTTCTCTGTCTGCAGCACCCTCAATGCTCTGCTGCCTCTCAAAGCACCAGAGGACAGAAGTGTTGCCTGTGGTCAACAGGGTATGTGCATCTTGGGAGGGGGTTCCCTTGAGAGTTGCACTCGACATATTTCATACTCTAGCAGTGAAGAGGATGACTCAAACCCTTCTGTTTTGGCCTCTTGCAACACGCACAGTCTTGCAATAGTCTTGGACAGGTTGGTGGGCTGTGGGCTGATGAAGAGAGGAGTAATAACACCTCTGTTACCACACAAAGAAGTCACAGTGGTGTGAGGATTCTTACTGGTATAATGATGCAGTTCTTAATAAAAAGTAAACTAATCCTGTGGTATTACCTGTTACTATTCTATGTCAGCCAGGAAGGTGACATTTAAAGAGTGGCTGTAGGAATATTCTGGTTTTGTCAAGCGAGGAGAATTTCCCTTTCTTCCTTCTTTGTTATTCAGCCGAGTAGAGTAGAACTGAGATTTTGATTTTTGGTTATGTCCCCTCTCCTCTCCCTTCAAGTGATGTAAAATTTATTTGCTGTTGTGAATATTTTTGTCTTCCAGACCTGTAAAAGGTGCAAGTGGAGTTGCTGTGACAACACTTTCTCGGTGCAGACAGCATGCGCTGTCTGTGCTGCTTCTCATGACAAGTCGGCCCCTCTCCTTGGGCAGGAGAAGCTGGAGAACAGCAGATGAGATAAAGTAATATTTTGCCCCAAATAAGGCAGGAGGTGTTATTTCAGGAGACCTACTATGCCTCTTAACGCTGCCATTGTTTTCTGCCGTCCTCTGTTCCTACAGTAGTATTTTAACTGGCAATATTTTGGTTTTGGGACTGTTTGCAACTCTGAGTACTGGGTAGGGAGGGGTGTGAGGAAAACACTCATGTTTTTGAGGTCAAGCAGCGTGTGAAATGGAGAAACAATTTTGTTCTTTGTTTGCATTTCCTTTGAATGTGCAGAAATACCTAGTGTGATTCAGTAGATTTGGATAGCAACATAGCACACAGGAACTTTAGTTTGTGCTTTGCCTATGTGTT